TCCATTCCTCTTGCAGTATCAAATAACATTTTTATCTTTAATTTATATGATAACTTTATAAAATCTTCTTTTTCTGTTCTTAAATATTCACCTAATGATCCTAAAACAAAGTATTGAATGACCATTGTTACTTGAGGTAAATATGTAACTGATCCCATATAATTTGCAATAAATGGATTTCTTAATTTACTCATCATTTCACACTCTGCTATTACTTCTTGTTTTAATTCATCCATTTCTTCTTCTGTTAAATTTTGCCATTTAAATACTTTCACTGCAACTGGAACACTACGATAACTTCCTATATACACTTGACCCATAGCTCCTTCAGCAATAGGTTTTTCAGACATATTTAATTCATCCATATCAATATGAGTAGATGATGCAGCATCTGTAATAATAGTAAGATTATAATGATAATGTTTAGCAACACTTTTACAAAGTTTTTCCATTTGTCTTTGGTTATCTTGAGTCCAATCATTAAATGTTTTATCTTTTAATAATTCTGCGATAGTTTCAAGTGTAGATTTTGATTTACTAAACCAAACAGTATATGGAATTTTCATATCTCTAATTTTTGTAGTACAATGAAGTGTCATATAACTTGTAATAATTTTTGATGGAGAATGTGGTCTTATAAATAATACTTGAGGTTCAAAATGAAAAACAAATTTAGGATTATTTGGTGTATGGAAGATAATCATCATATGTTTATTTTTAGAATAATTTTTCACTTCAATTCTTTCAAATCTTGTATCTTCTATATCTGTTGTTCCATTTTCATTACCATAATCTAACTCAGATGGAAATACTTTATATCTATTAATTTTTAAAGGTTCTCTATTTAATGATCCATTAATATAATAATGATATGTTGGTTGTTGTTGTTTAAATACTTCAATATCAGCTCTTTCATACCTTAACAAAACGAAAAATAAAAATATGAATAATCCCATAATAAATAACAATCCTACTGAACTTCCTACTATTATTCCAATAATAGCTCCAGTAGAAATTCGTTTTGACATACATGATCCTGGATTATCTGGATCAGGAATATATCCATTAACACAATCACAAAATGAATCACAATTAACCCCACCATCACATTGTTCTTTTTTTATTGTTCCATCACTAAATGTTATAGTATCAATTATTCCATTACCACATTTTTCATATTTACATTTTTTATTTTCTGTTCTAAAAAATCCATTCTCTGTATCACATCTACATGTTTCCGTACAACCATCACTTCCTTGTAAACATTCATCT